AGGAGGGTAAAGGTGACCAGATTAAAGGTGGAGGATGGTCTAACATGAAGAAAAGTAGAACCAGACCCAAATAAACAAGCATATGACAGATGTCCCATGATCTGGGCCTTCCAAGTACTCTGGAGTCCAGGACAGAAAACAGTCACATGCAACAAAGGAAGCCAAAACTACAACCTTAGCATTTCTGGAATGTCTGTCTTTCCTATCACCACCTAAAATTTGAAATCAGTCCATAGGAAGCACATAACTCCATCCCGAGGGTCGAAGAATCTCGCTGTGTTGCTATGGACACTGGGACACGTCAGGAGGGCCTGTTGGAATTGCCCATGCGTCTCTTCCCTCTATGCCATAAGCTCTATGTAAAAACAGAGATGTCATCTCAATGATCTTTGATTCCACTTGCTCTACAACACAGACACCTTCACAACACAATAGAGACTCTCCAAAAGCAATTTAAACCTCAACTGTGACTTCAGTCATCTACCCCACAATCCTCTGACTGTAACCCTGCGAGACAAAAGCCACCCAAAATGTCATCTGTGGTCCTGCTCCAGTCTGGGAACTTACAAAGATGGCCTGAGAATAAGCTCCGAGAAGCTTATGTAAAGATTTGGCTCTTTGCAACATTCAAATGCATGGTCATCAGAATTATACAAATCATGATCAGCAAAATGCATACACAGCAAATGTTTAGGCCAGACCAGATATTTAAGGATTCGAATCTGGCTGGACGTGGTGGTGGCACACACCTTTAATCCCAGCACTTGCAAGGCAGAAGCAGGTGGATTTCTGTGAGTTCAAGCCTGGCCTGGTTTACAGAGTGAGTTCTAAGACAGCCAGAGTTACACAGAGAAATCCTGTCTCCAAAGCTCAGGGGAGCAGGGGTGGGGTTCAAATGAGAAGGTATTCATCCTCTGAAGCCCCCTCCCACTCTAAGGAGTTCTTCCTGGCTTTTTCTTAATAACTATGTTTATTCTACTTATAAATCAATCATCAATCAACCAATCAATCAGCAATCGCAGGGCTAGAGAGAAGGTTTTGTCACAACCCAGAATCAAAATCAGTCACAGTGTGACTGGAGAGATGATTCCGTGATTAAGAGTACCAGTTGCTCTTCTAGAGGATCCAGGTTCAATTCCCAGCACCCACGTGGCCATTCATGTCTATCTGTTAACTACCACTTCAGGGGATCTGAGGCCTCTTCTGACATTATGGCATAGAGTAAAATTTTTTTAATTTAAGAAGAAAGGAATCACAGGAGAGGGCTAGAGACAGAGAAGGCTCGGTGGCTAGCAATTATTGCACAGCGTGAGGAACCTTTGATCTACCCACAGTGCCCACATGAGCCCAGTGTACCTACACATGTGCTTGTAACCCAAGCACCGTGAGAGATGGAGGAGACAGGAGCATGGCCACCAGCCAGCCCATCTCTAGGTTCAGTCTCAGTAAGGTGGAGAGTGATATATCAGGACACCTTATACCCTCTGGCCTCTGGCTCGAGTGTATACTGGCACACACACACACACACACACACACACACACACACACACACACGGAGAGATAATAAAAAGAATTCACACAAGAAGTAATATGTGGCAGAAACTGCCTATTCAGGATGCATGGTAGGACCACAGCTTGGTCAGTGTAAACTGAGAACCTGTGTTAAACTGTTCAACCTTAAGAGGGTGTTTCTTGCTTCCCCATTAGCCAGTCACGGAGAAAAAAAGTCTCCAAGATAAATACTTCAAAGTGCTGGCTTCCACCACCCTGCTCTGGTCTCATGACCTTCCTGGCTCTCCAGCTAGAACCTTCACAGACAGTCACGCCACTAGTCTCTACCTGGAAAAAGTCCACTTCTATTTCAGGCTGCCAAGCCGTGCTGGATCCTGGAGGAGGAGGCACATCTCTTCCTGAAATTGTGGAAACAAATTCATCTTCAAGGAAGACCTAGTCCCTGTAAGGAGAGTGTGCCAAAAACCCCACGTCAGTGTTCAGCCAGGAAGCCCAGCTGCCCTGGATGCCTGCAACCCAGAAAAGCCCATACATCTCCACAATGACACCAAAGCCCCCCAAAAGTGTCTCTGTGCCCACAGCTTTCGGAATTTCCACAATGGGGAAGAACAGCTTTATTAGAAGTGAATTATCTGCCTGGTGTGGAGGTGACCATGCCTTGCTGTTGGGAAATGATGTTTAGTTTTGCTCTCTCGGTAGTTTACCTTGCTAGGGTTATGGAGTTAACCTGACAATATGTAGAACGTCTGTTTATATTCACATTATTTTGGGCCTCTAATTTTCCAGGGGCTGAAAATTTAAGCTATGCCTTGCGGTTTCAATATTCCTATTGTAACAGCAGATGCATTCACAACCCACTCAACATTTGTTGGTGGGATGGTATTTCACTTGGCACTTGCTGTTTGTAAACTGATGGTATTTAAGTTACTTTCAGCATATGTAAAAATGTGCTCACACTTACAGGGCACTGTTTTATAATGCAAATGCTTGTGTACAAACTCTGCAACATTTGCCTTTTGTTGATGTACAGACAATTACGACCGTGGTTTTTTTCCAGTTGAAAATGAGGAAGACAAAAGGCCTGGAGTTTGGCATGTGTTTATGTCATAATTTCTCAAACTTGCCCGTCCAGAAAAGACGTTTTCAAGAACTAAGTGTTCTCAGGGCTGGAGAGATGGTTCGGTGGTTAAGAGCACTGGTTGCCCTTCCAGAGGACCTGGGTTTGATCGCCAGCACCCACATAATGGCCTCGGCCGTCTGTAACTCCAATGCAAGGGGCATCTGACCACCTCTTCTGGCCTCCACAGGCACTGCACACACATGGTGCACAGACATATGTGCAGGTAAAACACCCATACACATTAAATAAAAATAATAATTTAAAAAGAAAAGTGTTCACCATACTTCTCCACAATGACATCCAAACTCCTAAAAGTTTCTCCAAAAGTAAGGGCAAGTTCCATAAAAGCATCCTGAGCCAACATTCTGCTGGACAAATGCATACTCCAACTGCTAGCTCATCCCAGATTCAAAGGTGGGCTGGAGTTTAAGCCATCAACTAGGGGCTAGAGAGATGGCTCAGTGGTTAAGAGCACTGGCTGCTCTTCCAGAGGACCTGGGTTCAATTCCCAGCACCTACATGGCAGCTCACAACTGTTCTGTAATTCTAGTTCCAGGGGACCTGACACCCTCACACAGACACGCAGGCAGGCAAAATACCAGTGCATATAAAGTAAAAGTAAATAAATCATTAAAAAAAATTTTTTTAAAGGCATCAACCATTTCTCCCCTCTCCCAGTCTGTCCAGAAAATCTTCCCAGCCTCAGGCCTAGCAAAAGCTTTGGTTGCCTTCCTCGATTCTTTCTCACTCTATTCTAGGAGTCAAGCCAAACCAGGGCTCTTTCAGACACCTTCAGAAGAGGGCTAACCAGAGAAACAAACCTCCCAGGGATCCAGCTTCCCCCAGAAAAGTGGTTTTGCGCTGGCTGGATCAGAAAAGAATATAGCCTTCACCAGAAGTGACTTGGGAACAAAGTCCCGGCCCCAGGGGGAGAATTTAAAACCTCCAAGTCGCTTGAGCTGGTACCAGCTCTCGACCCCATTCATTCATTGTTAGTGGTGAGGAGGACATAGATTTAACCAGTGAGCCCAGGCTACCCCGTAGCTTCTCCCGCTCCATGAAGGCACCTCCCTGTTGTTCTATGGGGCATGTTCTCTACCTGGGAACTGGCAGTGGGAACATGGGCATTAAACTGCTGAGACAGCCTAAGAAATGCAGCAGCGGGACTTTGTAAGACAGACCAAGGGCCAGGGACTACTCCCAGGTGTGGTCAGCCTCCAAGCGCATGAGTTTATGGGATGTCTCAGCAGAAAAGGGCACCTGGCACCAAGCCTGATGACCCAAATTCGATCCCTGGAACCAAATGATAGGAAGGAGAGAGGTGACTCCCACAAGTTGTCCTCTGACTAGAGAATATGTCCTATGGTATGCACACATGCCTATAATGCCAGGACTCAGGAAGGGAAAGTAGGAGGATCAGGAGTCTGAGGCCACCCTGGGCCACATAAAGAGTTCATGCCACCCTGGACTATAAAGTGAATTCCACGCTAAACTGAACAACATCGTAGGACTATGTCTCAATCTTGAAACAAGAAAAAGTGGCAGCCCATCCCTGGGTAGACTTCTGTTCCCTCGGTGTCCAGAAACAGGCATGGTTAGTAACAGCAGACAGATGTGGAGCTGAAGCCCACGGGCCGCTGTGGATGAGGAACAGCTGTGCCAGAGGAACATTGCCCGTGTGTCCCCCTGTGTTTCAGTGTGTCTCCTGTGGAGCAACCCACACCAAGAAACCAATGACCAGACCAGAAGTTTAAGTCCCAGCCTTGTCACAGCCTCGGGGTTCCCTAAGCACCACAGGCCTCCATTTTCCCACCTGTAAAATGAGAAAGGGACGTAAGATAGACTGGCAGGGTCTTCATGTTCCTAAGCCCCTTGTGTCTTTCAGGCTTGTGCTTCTGCAACCTGCTCTCTGGGATCAGGGGTAACTGTCTGTATCCTGGAGCACATGAGTCACGTGAGCCTCAGTGTGTGTGTGTGTGTGTGTGTGTGTGTGTGTGTGTGTGTGTGTGTGTGTGTCCTGGGAGGAGGGGAGGCCCCAGAACAATGTCCTGCCTCCAAATGCCTCAATAGGCGGAAGCCACTGGCTTCCTCCCTTTCCTGTCTCCTGTGCTCCAGCAAAACAGATGGAAGGGACAGAGGGGATGGGAGAAGTCAGTCCAACCATCCCCAGGTCTGTCCTTGTCATAACCCCCCACACACACACACCTCAAGTGGCCCCCTTCCAGGGACTTCCAAGCCACACCCATCCCCAGGCTTGTGTGGGGGGTGGGCGCTGGACTTGGGAGGACTACAGGCTGGGAAGCAGGGTGAGTCTTCCCACCCTTCTCCCCTGCTACCCCTCCCACCCCAGCCCTCATTTCCTCTTCCTCCCCAGCACCAAGGCACACTAAGCAGAACAGGCTGAGCATACAGACCCACGGCAACTGACCCCAGGCCCAGCTGGCCTTGGCTGGTCCAGGTCAGCCTCCGGAGTATGGTCTGGTGGGGGTCCCCTTTCCTGTTCCCCATTCTCTTCTTGGCCTCTCGTGTTGGTAAGTCTACCCTGGGAGCCTCCCAAGCCCCTCAGGTTTCCAGGTCTTAATCCCAGCCCTCCCCCAAGAAACCCTAATACAGCGTAGCAGTGGCCCTCACAATATGGAGGCTGCCATGGGTTGGGGGAGGGGAAGTGAGAGGCATTGTTTAAGGGGTGTAGCATTTCAGTTTGTGGAGACGAAAGAAGTTACAGAGTCAGGTGTGGTAGTGTACTCCTTTAATCCCAGCACTTGAGAGCCCAGCCTGGATTCCATAGTGAACTCCATGTTAGTCACATAGAGACGTAGTGAGACCTTGTGGCAAAAACAAAAACAAAAAGAGCTGTGGAAATGGGTGGTGATGTTTATACAATACTATGAATGTGTTTATTAACACCGAATTAAATGTTTACAAATTGTTCTGAGGGTAAATTCTAGGGTATGTGTATTTTAACACAATTTAAAAATTAGAGGGAAAAGTAGAAACTGTGCCATCATCATCATCATCATCATCATCATCATCATTTTGTTCCATCAAAAAATGAGATCAAGGTGGAGAAAACTCAGGCAGGTGCTAGAAACCACTGCCTGTCTATGGGGGAGGGCAGAAAACAGCCATTGTTTTGTACCTCAGGAGTAACTGTGTTGGGCGTATTCAATAAGTCATTGGACAGCTGGGCACGGTGGCTTTGATCACAGCACTCAGGAGGCAGAGGCAGGTGGATCTCTGTGGGTTGAATGACAGCCTGGTCTACATAGAGAGACCCTGTCTCAAAATAATAATAATAATAATAATAATAATAATAATAATAACAATAATAACAATAACAATAACAATAATAACATCAAACATTTATTTAGCACCAATAGCATTCTATTGGCTGAGTGTCTGGAGACTCCCAAACCTGTTTGGTAGAAATCAAATGATGCTGGCCCCCTGGGTGGATATGTCTGTGTGTAAATGGGGCTGTGTACAGAAGGCTTGGAGAAGGTTTCTGAAAATGGGCTACAAATTCTTGCAGCCTGCCGACTAGAGGCCTAGAAGTCAGAGGCCGCCTTTGAGTGATGCACAGTCTAGCGGGGGGCACAGGCCAGGCATGAGGGCCAAACAGAGACAGACAGAGAGTTCTTGAGGAGCACTGTTTACTCTGCCTCCCGCAGTAAGCCAAGAAAACAGGAAGGATGTCCTTAAGAGGGGGAAACTGCCAGAATAATAAGTTCGAGATCGGGGGGCATGAAAGTCCATAGGAAGAACGGGCTCTGCAGAGAAAGCTGGAGGGGCCAGGGGAAAGCCACAAGGATGCTCAGGATTGTACGCATCATCCTGAAGGTACCTGGGAGCCATGGGACACTGTAGGCAAATGAGTCACAGGGTGTTTTTGAGTCTTGGTGGCATCACTTTGGAGAATGAATTGGGAAAGAAGCGGCGGCTTCTGAAATGGTCTGAGTAAGTAAAGACGAGGGCTGGACAAAGGTGGCATGGAAGACAGGGATGGCCAGCAAGGTTTAGGAAGAAAAACCTGTAGAAATGTGTGCCAGCCTGAGAGCTAAGCAATGAGGATTTAAGACTTGGACAGCCTGGCTCTGCTAGTTTCTAACTGTATGACCTCGGGCAAGTTCTAAGCTTTTGTTTCCTGGTAATAAAATGGGAATAATAACACCCACCTCCCAGGACAGTCAGACCGGGAAAGTAAGAGACGTCACTAAAGAGCCCGATGCATAATTGACGTCCAATAAACATTAATTATTATGACAGTGGAAATATAGATGACTCTGAAGTCGGTGTCTCAGGTAATGGGCGTTGTGCTCTGAGTCAGGGAACTTGGGAGAGGTGAGGCTTTAGGAAACACGGATGGAAATGCCTTTGGAGCTGAAAGGCCACACCAGAGGTACTGACTCAAAGGTGACAGTTAAAGCTCTGGGAGTAGGTGAACGTGCTCAAGGAAGCCCGAGAATAATGATGACAGCAGAGAAAATCAACTTCACTGGAGGCCGTGAGGACGCCACAGAGAAAGGGCATTGGGTACCTACCTGCCATCGGCCAGTAAATGGCAGCTTCTTGTACTTGTGCTAGACTGCCGAAGACCATGAGCTGGTATTCTAAGTGGCATTTAAGTTCCATTGAAGTTAACAGGCAGGAAAGGGGCAGGAAAGAAGGGGTCTGGGAAGGGCTGGGGTCACAGATCTGAGGCAGGCTAGTCAGGCTCTTCCCCTCGGTCTTGCCCACTGTGGGGTACAAATTTTATGCTCCAGTCCCACTAGCCCTGGGCAACCCGTCTCCCCACATGACAACATTTCTCATTCTGTGCATTTCTCAAGCTGTTTGCATGCAGGGTGGCCTCTCCCTGCCCCTGACCTTTCTCCTCCTGCTTCTCCTCACCCAGGTACCCTGCCTAAGCTTCAAAGGTCCTTTGGTGTTTTTTCTCTGAGGAAGACCCTCTCTTCATTCGCCCCCTGTCCTCCTCCCTCCCCTCCCCCACACTGGTTAGGTGTTCCTCCCTCTGTCCCAACACCTGCAGCTGGGAGGGTATCCACGTCTGGTCCTCCAGCTTCCCAAGGCAGGACCTAGACTGTGTCTACGTCCCTCTGCGCCAGGTAGGGCTAGCAACTTCATTTCTGCCCCTAGCCTACCTTCAATCCCAGCCAATCAGATCGTTCTCAATTGTTTAAGTAACAAGGAGGATGTCTGCAAGGCACTCCAGTCTGAGTGGCTCTTCTAACCTGCACCTCCATGGCGGGGCAGCGACAAGTGGCCTAGGGATAGTTATGGTGGAGACGGTTCAGAAAGGAGTCAGGGCAGGGACCGGACAGGGACAAAGGAAGGAGACAGAAACATAGATCATTCCCATGAAAGCCCTGCTGTCAGGGGCTGCATCTGTCTGCAGCCAGAGAAGGACGTGTGCTTTTGTTTGTGTTGTAGGATGAAGAGACAGAAGGGCAAAGGACAAGCACGTGTAGAAGGGAAGAGAATGGGGGTGGAAATCCTTGATAAAGTGAAGCCTTCAGAGGGCACAGTGAAACACTGACACCCGAGTTACTGCCGGAATTGCAGGCCTCATGGGGCTGTTGGCAGGGTCTACCACGGAGTCACTGTTGTCTGGTCCCAGGTGCAGCTGTGGATTTAACCCTGTTGGCCAACCTGCGCATCACCGACCCGCAGCATTTCTTCCTGACTTGCGTGTCTGGCGAGGCCGGGGCAGGGAGGGGCGCAGACGCCTGGGGCCCGCCCCTGCTGCTGGAGAAGGATGACCGCATCGTGCGCACCTTCCCACCCGGGCAGCCCCTGAACCTGGCGCGCAACGGCTCCCACCAGGTCACGCTGCGGGGCTTCTCCAAGCCCTCAGACTTGGTAGGGGTCTTCTCCTGCGTGGGCGGCGCCAGCACACGGCGCACTCGAGTCCTCTACGTGCACAACAGCCCGGGAGGTGAGCCTGCCAGAGGTGGAGGGACGGAGGGAGGGCTGCTATCCTGGATCACTGACTTGACCTTTCGCCCACAGCCCACCTGTTTCCAGACAAGGTCACGCACACCGTGAACAAAGGAGACACAGCTGTGCTTTCCGCACGTGTGCACAAGGCAAAACAGACGGACGTGATATGGAAGAACAATGGTGAGGGGCATTTGGTTGGACAGGTAGACCCATGCGTGGTTCTGACACTCCAGGGCCTCCATTGCCCTCCATATACTCAGCCAATGGCTATGATATACCCGTCATCCTCCTGGACAACCTCCAGGGTCCTTCCATGGGATGCACCTGACCCCATTTCATCTCCAGCTCTGAGTCACTCACCTCCTGTACTAAGAGGTCCAGGAACCTGTGGCCAGCTACCTCTTACGTACTATGTTAAGCCCTCATCTTCAACTCTCCCCTGGGAATGAGCAGGTGCTGTCACATGGCCCACCTAAGAAGAGCAGCGGTCCCCATGGGAAAGAAGACAGCTGATAACAAGTGCCCACGAGGGAAGTCTGACCCCTCTAAGATGTGCCCAGTTTGGATCCTTGATACCCAAGGCAGGCATGTGCTGGAGTCCACACAGATATGTGGGTCTCAGCTCTGTGCCCTGCCTGCCCACTGCCCTGTCCTTATCCACTCCATGGAAGGACTCTTTTTTCCTGAGTAGTCCCCAAAATGCCTGCCTCAGCCCCATAATCTTCTGGCTGACTCTTGGGTCCTTGGCTCCTAAGAGAGAAGATCGTTTTCATTGGGTAGAAGGCTTTGAACCAACAAGAAATGTAGAAGTGGACAAGGAAACCTGAATCTCTGCAGTCTGTTTAGAGTTCTGAGCAGAGACAAGAGGGGGTTGAATCCCTGTCTAACAGTTTGGGTCCTAGATGAAGAGGCCGGGAGAGAGCCCTGAAAAGCAAAAGAGACAGAGAAAGAAAGGACCTTCTAGGAGGCAGGGCAGGCAAGAGCAAAGGCCTGAAATACCAGATGTTTCTAGAAAGCCAAGAAGCATTTAGGAATTCAAGAATGTTAGGGGTCAGGCAGGGTGTGGTGAGGTGTGGGACTGGAGGGCTGAGCAGAGCCAAACTGTCGAAAACAATGGCTAAAGGACTGGTTTCCATCCTGGTGCAATGGAGAGCTCTGAGAGAGAGCCCCAGGCGTAATAGGGGACAGACAAGTCTGTTATAAAAGCATCCTGGTGGCTGTCCAGCGGAGGGTGGGCAGATAGGGCTAGCGTGGAAGCAGAGAGCTCCTATAAAAGTCATGAGAAGGGGTTGGGGATTTAGCTCAGTGGTTGAGTGCTTGCCTAGCAAGCACAAGGCCCTGGGTTCGGTCCTCAGCTCCGGAAGAAAAAAAAAAAAGAGTCATGAGAAAAGGACTGAATTATTAAATGAAGAGGAGGGAGAGGGAGGACTTGATTTATTGGGAGGCTCAGAGAGCATGAAGAGGATGTTCTCCGGCTTCCTGGCTTGGGTACTAGTATCTGGTGGTTGCCTTTCCCCCAAGTCTGATCAATGCACACAGGCCACATTGGTGTGACCAGGGCAGAGGGAGGTAACACCAGTCTCTCGTGTGATTCTGGAGGTCCCAACCTAATTGTGTCCCCCAGGATCCTACTTCCACACCCTTGACTGGCATGAGGCCCATGATGGGCAGTTTCAGCTGCATCTCCAGAACGTGCAGCCACCATCTAGTGGCATCTACAGTGCCACCTACCTCGAAGCCAGCCCCCTGGGCAGTGCCTTCTTTCGGCTCATCGTGCGGGGTGAGGAGCAGAAGACAGAGGTTGTGGGTGGTGTGGGGGGCTGTGAGCCTTATACGTACTTCCTTGGGGTCTCGGGATCCATGAGGGTCCCCAGAGCTACCCTAGTCCTCAGCAGCTGTGGACAGCTGGGGGAAGGTCAGCTACTGAAAACACTTTCCTCCAGGCTGTGGGGCTGGACGCTGGGGGCCAGGGTGTGTCAAGGATTGCCCAGGCTGCCTGCATGGAGGTGTCTGTCATGACCATGATGGCGAATGTGTGTGCCCCCCAGGATTCACTGGTACCCGTTGTGAGCAAGGTAAGTAGGAGAGCTAGCACTGACTGGGAGAAGGTTCTGAAACCACGGAGACGAAGCTTTGAGTATGAGGCCCAACAGAGTCTACACACCACACACCTTGTTTTCAGCCTGCAGAGAGGGCCGTTTTGGACAGAGCTGCCAGGAACAGTGCCCAGGCACAGCAGGCTGTCGGGGTCTCACTTTCTGCCTCCCGGATCCCTATGGATGTTCTTGTGGATCTGGCTGGAGGGGAAGCCAGTGCCAGGAAGGTATGGACTAAGCCACTTCCTCTGGGCATAAGTGTGCCAGACCCTTCACTATGACCCTGACCTAAACACCAGGCCCTCCACTCCCTTCTCGGTGCCCCCACCACCACCACCACACCAGCCTGCTGAATAGCTTGTGCCCATCTGTACCCTGCTGGGCCTGACTGGCCCATTTTAACTATTACCTCCTCTGTTCCTAGCATGTGCCCCTGGTCATTTTGGGGCTGATTGTCGCCTCCAGTGCCAGTGTCAAAACGGTGGCACTTGTGACCGGTTCAGTGGCTGTGTCTGCCCCTCTGGATGGCATGGAGTACACTGTGAGAAGTCAGGTATATGCCCCTGAGAACCCTCAACACAGGTGATCCTTTATCAAATGCATCTCTCTGCTCTTTCTGTCGCTGGTGGTGCCCAAGTCCTTCCCTCAGGGAGTTCAGGCGTGGTAGGTATTCTCACCGTTCAGGCACCCACATTGTGAAGGATGGCTGCCTCGGGTGCACAGGATCTAGGGGAGACCCTGACCAGTGTGAGTGTCTTTTGGGGGAGGAGCCAAGATCTGGAATTGAATGTGAAAGACAAAGAGAGATGATTGGGGAAGGATGTGAAGAAAGCCCAGGGAGCTGAAGGAGGGGTTAGGGGAGTGGTCAGGATGGGCCAAGTGATGGGGCCTTTGAATATAAGCCAAAGGGTGGCTACTTAATGTGAAGAGCTGGACAGAAATTCTTGAAGGGTGTGTGATGGTCAGACTTGTAGGTGAGGAAGAGCCTCTCATTGTGGGTGGAGAGTACAGAAGCCAAGGGCCAGAAATGAAGGAGTTGGCAGGTGTAATGGCTCATACCTATAATCTTAGCACTCGGGAGGCTGAGACAAGAGAACTGTCTGGAGTTCAAGGCCAGCCTGTGCTGCAAAGTGAGTGTCAGGCCAGGCTAGGCTACAGCATAAGACAGTGAGAAAGAGGGAATAAGGAAGAAGAGGGAGAGAGAGGGGGAGGGAGGGAGGAAGAGAGAGAGAGAGAGAGAGAGAGAGAGAGAGGAGAATTCAGCCTGAACTGTTTGAGCAGGGCGGGTGATAAGGGGCCTGCCTCTGAGACTTAGAAGATCGTAGGAAATGTGATGGGAGAGACGGGGGAGGTGAGCCCTACACCTGACTGGATGTGGGGAACCAGGGCCTGAAGGAACCACACAAGACCTTGCGGATTTCAGTTGTAAGTGGCAGGGCAGACCGTAGGACCCTCTCTGAGATGCAGAGCATGGGACAAGGAGCACATTGGTGGTCGCATGGCTGCCTCAGGATTGTTCGGGATGGCTTTTCTCTCTCTCCCTCTAGACCGGATCCCCCAGATCCTCAATGTGGCCACCGAGCTGGAATTCAACTTAGGGACAACGCCTCGGATCAACTGTGCCGCTGCAGGGAATCCCTTCCCAGTACGGGGCAGCATGGAACTCCGCAAGCCAGATGGCACCATGCTCCTGGTCAGCCCCTGTCACCCCAACCGTCTGCTCCCCCATCTCACCAGCTTGACAGCTCATTCCTTAGACCCCTAACCCCATCAGAACTTGTAGGCCCTGCCCACTTGCCTGGCCATGACTTAAATGGGGTGGGCGAACCCGTGAGGGGATGTTGCTGGGTCTGTGTTCCAGCAACAGTCAGTACTGACTCCCATCTGCCTCAAGAAGCATGCATTCTCCATTGCCTGTCTCCTCTTGTCTCTTAGTCTACAAAGGCCATTGTTGAGCTCGACAGGACCACAGCTGAGTTTGAGGTGCCCCGTTTGACTCTTGGGGACAGCGGGTTCTGGGAATGCCGTGTATCCACGTCCGGTGGCCAAGACAGCCGGCGCTTCAAAGTCAATGTCAAAGGTTAGCGGTGTTCTAAGGCTCTGAAGGACGGATGGTAGTCTGAGCAGGCACTGCTTGATGCTGCTCAGGCTGGGGATCCTAGCAGGAAAGTCAAGGGCTTCGAAGGACGAAGCTCAGCCCCAGGCAGAGAAGGCTGGTGGCCAATCAGTGTCAAGGCTGGAACACAACTTGGTCCCACCTGGAAAAGACACGAGGAACGGGACGTCCTCCAGCCTTGCCCTGCCTCCTGCATTGCATGCGCTGTTCACCACCGCACCCAGGGTCCCTTTAACTCCACCTCGGGGTGCTGCCCTTTTACCTGAGTCACCTCACATGGACACACAGGGACAGCAGACAGGCAAACCTGTTCGGCTCCTCAAAAGGGACACGTACACAGGATGAATGAGAAGGGAATTAACTACCAGGCACTCAGAGCAAAGCGCAGCAGAGCACCCTCTCCATGGACTTGGCATTTTTTCACTTCCGCACTATAAGCCTGGGCAGTCCCGTACCCCAAGCTCTACTTTCCTTCTGCGCCCCCACACACACACCCCATGTCTGTTTTCATCTCCCTTCTCCTTCCCTCTCCTCTTTTTCTTCTGCTTCCCAATCCCTCGTCACCTCCCTCCTACTACCCCATCCACCAGGCCCCACTTTTCTCTTCTCAATCTCTTATCAGATCTTTGGCTTCAGCCCTCCACTCTGGCTTGGATTCCAAGCCGCTCTCTACAAGTTCTCTCACCTAAGCAAGTTAGAGCCTTCTGCCAGTTTCTTACTGTGTAAAAGTGGCCAGGCTGCTCGGGAAGACTAAACTAGGTGATGCGTGTAAGTAGTTAGCACAGTGGCTGGCAGAAGGTATACCCGATACAGAGGACAACTGCTGTTATCTAAAAGTGGCATCCAGTGCCAAGGTGCCAGCCCTTCTCTGGCAGTGCCACTGTGTCCCTGTAGTCAGGACCCCTCTCCTGATGCCAGCTCCTAGTAGTGGACCTCCGTGAGGTGAGCATCAAGTTCTGGTCTCGAAGGCAATGTGGAAGTTCGTGTGTGTGTGTGTGTGTGTGTGTGTGTGTGTGTGTGTGTG